AAACAGAAGCTTGGCTTGCATACCAGGAAAGGCAGCTACCTCTGCATTCCTGAACATCGCAGCTCAGATCCCCTTTATTTAAATCACCCTCATTGGGTGATCTTGGACAAAGCCTCACATTTCTCATCTGTAAAATACAATGATAATAATAGTACCTACTTTATAAGCGTGTTGTGAAAGATTAGTGACGTAATCCTGCTAAAGTGCTTAGCATGGTCCCTGGCACACGGCTATGTTTAATAAGTGTCAGCTGTTATTATCATCAGTACTTACCCTTCTGCTCTGTTGGTACTTTCGCTTTAGCGTATAAACACATCAAGTTTTCTTCCATCTTAAACTAAAGTAATAGACCTTAGATATTACCTCTTATTTTTTTTTGCCTGTCCAGTTATTTCTTCTCTGTTCATATCCCCCACCTTGCCCCTAGCCACATACACAGAGCCTAGGTGAAGGCAGAGTCAGTCCCGTCTACCTGACCACGGCCCAGGGCCAGGGCAAGCACGGCACAGGGGAAGGACAGGAGGTTAACAGCCAGAGGGTCATCGCTCTGAAGCTCCACAACTTCCTAGGTGTGTTTACCTTGGGCAAATTTCTTGTCATCTCTGAATGTCAGCTGCCTCGCCAATAAGTTGGGGATGTGAACATCTGCCTTGCAGGACTGCATGCAGTGAGATTAAAACAGATAATGCAAAACAAAACAAAAGAAAAAAGGGACTTCCCAGAGGTCTAGTGGTTAAGACTCCGTGCTTCCAATATGGGAGGTGAGGGTTCGATCCCCGGTCAGGGAACTAAGATCCCACATGCTGCACAGCATGGTCCATAAAACAAAACAAAAACAAAAAAACAAAAACAGATAATGCACGTAAAGTACACAGCACAATTTCTGGAACATAGCAGGTACTCAATGAGTGGTTAGATATAATTATTACCTAAAATATAAAGCGCATTATAACTTGCAATCTATATCCATAGATATAGAGCAGAAGGAAGGAAAGAACCCAGCTAAGACAGAGGAGAAGCAATCAGAGGGGCACAGGAGACGCAGGGAAGATCAGTGTTGCTACAAGAGTGAAGCAATATTCCAGAAGGAGTGCAGAATCAATATTAAATGCTGTAATGATAGAAAAGAATGTAAAATGTTTAAAAAAGGAAGAAAAGCAAAGTTATATTTAACTTGGCTGTGTTATGTTCTTAGTTTTATTTTTTGTTTGTTTTTGTTTTTAGCAGATTTACCTTTTTATTCAGTCTTCCTGGTGCTAATAGTAAAATCATTCTGACTTCCCTGACCACAGGCTAGCTAGATTTTTTGGAAAAGTTGCCTGAGAGATTGGGAGCTTGTTTAGGAAGCTCACTGGACCTGAAATACAGCTACAGATAACCTGCAAGACACATAATTCCCAGCAGGATGCTCAGGGGTCTTTGACATAAGGTCCTTTCCTGATTTGCTGCATTCGGTATTTTTTCACTTTTACATAGGGCAAAAAGACACAGGAAGATAGCTCTTACTTTTGCGTCCCCCTCCTCCCTCCCCGGAACATTGGATATAACCTAGCAGCACTGGGTTTTTAAAGGACAAACTGTTCTCCCTTAAACCCAAACTGCCAACTTTAAATGAATGTGTGTGTCTGCCTCCGTGGCATTCTTTCATCATTCTGTTTTGCTGGTGGCAGATCACAGTGCCATCTTTAAAAATAAAATACATTGCAATAGTTTCTTAATTAAAAACCCTTTGAATCATGCTTACTGAAATCTATTACATGGATTTAACTGATCGGCAGGGAAGAGATTTTCTGTTCCCAGTGGAATAAAAGAATTCAGAAAGGAAATGAATGGTTGAAAGTGTTCCCGCAATGAAATCCCTCTCTTTAACACATGTCACACTGAGAAATTATCGACTGGAAAGTTTACTTAACTTCACTCAAGTAAGAAAGAACAAACTGGTCACTCAGGGAGCCCAGGCCCTGGGGAAGAGTTGGGTGCACATCCCAGCTCCCATTCTTACCAATGCATTTTTCTTTGAGACTCAGAAGCTGAATTTATTCAAAAGTCATGTGGGGAAAATACTAAGCATCTAATAGGGTGGTTGAAAGGATGATTGCACCTAGTGTGTGATCCGGGCCATTTTATCAGGAAATGATTCTTAACTCTTGTATCATCCAGTCTCATAACAAGAATTCAGGAGAAACTTTCATCCTTATGGAGCCCCTTTGCTCCACTAGAGGTACAGATGAGTGATAACGAGCATTAAAAATCCTGATGCTATGCTCTCAAGGTTCTCGGTCTAATTTGGCATCTGATCTTGACAAGAGCTTTTTCTGAAGCATTTTAAGTCCAGAGAAACTGAGGTATGACCATGTGACCAGTGCCCCAGGGACACAAGGAGTGAACAGACCAGGTGGAGATATCTAGGTCCCATTTTCTTTTTGCTGTAATATACTGACTCCTAAAGAGCAGAAATATAAGCAATAAATAAAAAGATTGGAAGAAGCTTAAAAAAAATTTAAGGTAAGTTATTTAATAATCACTTAAAATAAGTTCAGGTTGATTATTAATCTTCCACTATTAGACTAAAAGCAATACAATGGGAATATTTCAATAACTTTTTATCACTGTCTATTGAAAACATTCTGCTTTTCTGTGAAAGTAAAGTTTATACTAATTACCTGCCAGGAAAAAAATCAGTATAAATTTAATATAGATCAGGGCTAAAATTGCTTAACTTTTATCTGATTTCCATGAGGTGGAACAGCGGGTGAGTAGAAGCATGGGAGAATATGGGAGATGCCGTGGTGCCAGGGGGAGGGCGGTGCTAGACTCTGTAACCCATTCGTGGATTGACAAGTCAATTTCCACAGTTTCCTCCTTTGTAAGATGGGGTTAATGGCACTTATCTCTCAGGATGGTCATAAGGTTCAAAACAAACATGAGTTGGTAAACGTAAAAATATGTTTACATACAGAGGTACTATTCAGAGAAATAAGGCAATATTTTATCTATTTATAAATGTTCTCAAAAGCCCACAGTTTTTGCTCATGTGTTTTTACACACCAAGCTCAGTCCATCGTGTTGCTCTTGTGGCACGGGGCTCTCTGAGACTCTCATCACCCCTCCACTGAGCACTGACCATTTATTTAATTAACAGTAGATCAAGAACCACCTTGACTCCACCCCAAAGATCACAAGTGGATTGTGCTCCACCAATAATTGATAAACTTTTAGTGTATGAGAAGCCATATATACATGGCTTTATATATATATATAAACTGAATCACTGTGCTGTGCACCTGAAACTAATACAACATTATAAATCGACTATACTTCAATAAAATATAAATTAAAAATAAAATTAAAAAGAAGCATGTTTTTCTTCTTTGATGCAAGCCATGAGAACTCAGCATTTTCCTACAGAAAAATGTAAATGATAAGTAGAGGCCCCCCAAACCCATAAAAGTTTGTGTTACCTATGTTCTTACTATTGGCTATTGTGTACCCAGTTTTTTTTCCCTCTATGTGGGTTAGAAGGGAAGTCTAAGTCATCAGGAAGTTGTCTCTGTCTTCCCCTTAACCCAACTTTGAAATATCTGTCCCATGCCTAGCACAGTCCTGCGCACACAGAAGTCCCTAGAATATTTATTAGATGAATGTCCCACCATGTTTCCTTCCATGGTAATAAATATTGCCTAAACACGGTGAGGAAGATATTACTTTGGGGGCACTGAACTAGAGTTGCTGGCTATCTCTCACCAACTCACATCTCCTTCTAAGGGAATCTTTTTTGCCAGTAGGCTTTTCTTTTCTTTTTTTTCTTTTTAACATCTTATTGGAGTATAATTGCGTTACAACGGTGTGTTAGTTTCTGCTTTATAACAAAGTGAATCAGCTATACATATACATATATCCCCATATCTCCTCCCTCTTGCGTCTCCCTCCCACCCTCCCTATCCCACCCCTCTAGGTGGTCACAAAGCCCCGAGCTGATCTCCCTGTGCTATGGGCTGTTTCCCACTAGCTATCTATGTTACATTTGGTAGTATATGTAAATACATGCCACTCTCTCACTTCGTCCCATCTTACCCTTCCCCCTCCCTGGCTTTTCTATTCTAAATAGTCCCCTCATCCCCACCCCCACGCAAAAACAAAACAAAACAAAAAAACCACATAATTAAACGGATTGAAGTTGAATTTCTGTCCCAAGGGCAGAACTTCGGTGGGCCACTGGACAACGTCCAACTGGTGTGGTCGGCTTGAATGAATGAGCTCAGCCAATCAAATCTCTCAAGAACATAGTCTGGGGCACTTCCCTGGTGGCACAGTGGATAAGAATCCATCCGCCAATGCAGGGGACATGGGTTCGAGTCCTGGTCCGGGAAGATCCCACATGCTGCGGAGCAACTAAGTCCGTGTGCCACAACTACTAGCCTGTGCTCTAGAGCCCGAGCACCACAACTACTGAGCCTGCATGCCACAACTACTGAAGCCCGGGCACCTAGAACCTGTGCTCCACAACGAGAAGCTACTGCAGTGAGAAGCTCGCACACTGCAATGAAGAGTAGTCCCTGCTCACCGCAACTAGAGAAAGCCCGTGCGCAGCAACGAAGACCCAATGCATCCAGAAATAAATAAATTAATTAAAATAAAATAAAATAAAATAATGTGGCCTGGGAGACAGAGACTGAGTCAGTAAGCAGAGCTGAAAGGCCCTGTGCTAGGAGGTAGGCTCAGGCCTGGGCTGACCATGGGGGACCAGATGAAAGCTGAAGTCAGCAGGAAGATACTGGTAAAGTAGAGAACAGAGCTGACATGCTGAGAAGCAGAGCCACCATGAGTAAGATTTCACAGCTCTTGAGAAGCAGGGAAAATAGTTCACCTAGTCATTTTTCAAAAGGTCAGTTTCAGTTTCAATTTAGGAGAACACTTCTCATATCCTGCTTCCCTACCCACCACTCCCCTCACACACACCCTTTTCTTTTTTCTTTTCTCCTTGAGGAGACTTGAATGGAAATCTGTACCTTGAAACTAAAACAGGAGAATTTCTGTGCTCAACCTAAGGAAGAGTTATACCCTCAGCCCTCACGCAGCCTCTGGAGGAGTCTTGGATTGCCCTCAGGGTTAGTCCGGGACTCCCGGGTAACATCGCAGGCCACAGAGCAGCTGCTCACGTTTCTTGTGAGAGGTTAAATAAAACGAGGTATGTGAAAGTGTCCTGTAAACTTTTCAGCCCTTATTCAGGTATATGTCTTTGGCTGAGTGACAAAGAACTGAACAAGGAGTGTCAGCTCCAGGGAAGTGCTCAGGCTATATCTGCTCTTGTTTTGAGTGTCTGATGCTCCTCCTGACAGAAGCTGACCCTCAGGAAGAATAAGATTCCATAAGGTAAGTCCATTAAGGCGGAGCTAAGAAACCAAACACGACCAATTATGAGACTTGTCCATGTGAAAATCCCAGGAGAGCAAATAATAATGGAAAATGAAGTTTTCCCTTGCTTTTAACTTCAGGAAGAAAAAAATGATGAGAGGGGCTTCCCTGGTGGCACAGTGGTTGAGAGTCTGCCTGCCGATGCAGGGGACACAGGTTCGTGCCCCAGTCCGGGAAGATCCCACATGCCGCGGAGTGGCTGGGCCCGTGAGCCATGGCCGCTGAGCCTGTGCGTCCGGAGTCTGTGCTCCACAACGGGAGAGGCCACAACAGTGAGAGGCCCGCGTACCGCAAAAAAAAAAAAAAAGATGAGAATCAATAGTCAATGAGTAAGGAAAACAGCTCAGAAAAAGACATTTCTAAATTGATAATTAAGTACCTGTTCCTTAGGAAGGAACTTCCATGGAAACTTGAAGGAAAAATGGGAAAAACATAAAAAGCATGATCTGATCAGATCCCAAAGTGGATCCTTATTTAAAAAACAAAACAAAACAAAAGCAGACAGTATCACTGTGCGGAGGCGAGCTCAGGAATGTAGGGCAAGAAAAGGACAACAAAATTCTCCAAATGCAGGAAGCAAATGGGGATGGGGCAGGCTTTCATAACAGAAGGTGATGAGGTAGTTAAACATGTTCATAACAACTCCCAGGAGACACAAACAATTGACTGGGTTAAGTCAGGCTTTTAAGGGAAAGATAAAAGAGCAGAGAGTAAAACAAAAGACTGTTTATAGACACCTAGAACATTGAGTGTATTCAAACCAGCAAGGTCTGATGGCAGGGACCCTAAATCTTTTTTAAAAGTCCAGTTTTCTTAGGAAATCTCAAGAAACTCTCAAAAGAGAACTAATTTTAATTATTCTAAATTAAAAATAGATATAAATATGTGGCATATAATTAATTTAGACAAGGCTAACAATTTTGTAAAGTCAGGCATACAAGAATACTGTATCCAACTTCTGATTGGTTAGAAATCATTAGAAATCACTGTCCGACCAAGACTAGTTCTTCTACCCTGATCTATCACAGCCCTTGTAACACCGGCCCGATGCTCTTTTTCAAACTGGGCTATTGTTTGGTCTTTCGAAAGTGTCTCACTTTTTCTTTCCATCCTTCCTTTTATATCTCCATATCCAACCCCCTAATCCCCTATAGAAATCCTACCCATTAATAGCTGGAAGAAAACCAGCTTAACATGCCATATAATAAGGCTTCATGGGATGTTCATGGCACTAGTGGTAGAATCTGTAGGATGAAAATTGCCAACAATGTTATTGTGATAACTTAAGTGTGGTTTGACACTATCTAGATGCTAGCATGACATTTGGAGCTCTCAGAACTGCCATGAGGGCTGTCCCTATACACATTCACGTCTCATAAAAGCCTTCCTCTCCAGGCAGGGACAAGCTCCTGGGCTATACTTTGTAGCTGCAGCTGCTGGGTCCTACCCTTGTAAGTCTCTCTCTCTCCCAATAGGGAGAGGATGCCCCAGTGCCCAGGGCCAGCTCCCATTGGACAGCACCAGACAAGCACTGGATGGAAGAGAATGTGCAGGGGTCAATGGCTTAAGATCCACGCCCCCCTCCCAGCTTCCTGCTTTGGGTCAAAGGGGGGTGGGAGGCAGCCACAGAGGAAATAGACATGTTTAATCTGAAAGTGATTCCGCATTCCTTGTCATTAGACACAAGGTACACTGAAAGAACCCAAGGCAGACCTATAACCAGTCGCAACCCGAGGACCTGAGCAACTGTTAACATGTCATCTCTTTAGGTCTCTTTACAGATGCATCTCCCCTGTGAAGCCCCCCGCCCCCGTTCACGAGGGACACCCACCTCCCCTGGGCTTCTCCAGCACTTAGGTTACTCCACCAGCCCCACCCAGCGTTACAGCCTGAGAGATCCTTGAGGATGGGGTCCACCTCCTACATATTCCTGTGTGTGCCACAGCCCTTAGCACACAGTAGGTGCTTAATAATGAATCACTTCAATGATGAACCATCTGGGAAACAGAGGAAAGCTGCGGGTGGAGAATGGTGCCTTGAGCTCCCGGGTTAAGACTGCGTCTCATCAGTCCCTTCCCTGGTCCTCATTTTCATGGTAGTAAGTTACCATTTTAATTCACCAGTGTTTTGTAGTAAGCCTCCTTATCCGTAGTGAAATAAAGGCATACATAAAATAATCCCAGTTGAGGCTATGTGTGTGCATTTGGGGGAGAGGAGTGTGTCCCCAGCAAAGGCTTCCTCTCCAGCTGGGAGAGCCCTGCTGGCAGACCTCAGGGCGGCACCCAGAGGGTCCTGAGCAGCCCAGAAGATGGCACCATCCATGGCTTTACTCTCATGCCTGAGGGCTCTTTTGTGTTCTATTTCCGCTTGAAGTACGTACCCATCCACGAATCCATTGAAAATGTATTGAGCGCTTATATCTGCCCGACCCTGGGGACAAGATGGTGAGCCAAGCGGTCCCAGCTTTACCCTCATGAAGGTTCCAGTTTCTCGTGGAAGAACTGCAGAAGAAAACCAGTAGCCAACCAGCTTAAACCCCAGGCTAAAAGAACGGAAATAAACACAACCTCGAAACGAATTATGTAACGGATGCTCCTTAAGCATGCCGCTCCCTCGTGCCCCCTGCTGTCCCCATCTTGCACGGAGGCCCCAGGCCAGCGCCTTCCGTGACTGCTCCGGCCACAAACCTAGCTCTGTGGGTGGCCGGACGCACGCCTTTCCGGCTGCCGGGAGCATCTGAGCCGGAGACTCCCTGGCTCCACACTCCGGAAAGGAAATGCAACTGGAACACACAGTCTAACGGCGAATCTGGAGTGGACGGGGTTTCGTCAGAGGGAAAGGGGTCTCCATGTGCAGGGTTCCAGGAGGTGGAGACTGGCGCGGGGAGTCGGGCGCTGGCGCGGGGAGGGTGGTGAAAGGCAGAAGGGTGAAAAGGGCAGGAGGAAGCCGACCACATGTTTATTGCTGTTCACGGGGCTGGAAAGTTTCCTGTGTCTTCTAGTGAGCCCTTTTCTCTGCTTTTAGGAAAATAACTCTATTTCATGAAAGGATGCAGTTTTGTAAAATCAGCTGTGAAAACTCAAGGGTATGCATGGGTTTGCCTCACTGAAGGCCTTTATTTAATGGGAATATAGGAAGCTAGCTCATTTCCTACAGCGGTGATTCCTTGAAGAAGTGACTGGCGTCTTTCATGTATTCTGGGCAATTAGTGGGCCCTTGGGTAGACTAGGCTTAGGGGAGAAGAAGGAAAACCTTGGAATCTGGAGACCTCAGTTTTCTTTCTGGTTCTGCCACTCATTGGCTGTGTGACCTTGGCAAGTCCCTGTCCTTTCTCATCAGTAAGTGCCCTGGTGGCTCGAGTGTTCCATGAGGGCTTTGAGAGGGAGATGCTAAGAGCGGGCAGCAGACAGAGCTCTGGCAGTGAGGTGTAAATAGGGGTCATGATGACGGGTCGGGGAGGAAGGCAGAATGTGAGGGCCTGGTCAGTCCTTATCCTATCCAGCTCCAGGGGGAAGATGGGACGGTGAACCCCAGTGATAGAGAAAAGGTCAATGAACCCAGCAGCCACATTTCTTTCCCTAAGCACAGTGGCATTTGCCAGGAACCAATGCAGAATGTTGAGAATGATTGCTTTTGCCTGGCAGTCAAAAACTGGGTTGGTCCAAGCAAAAATGCCAGGGATTGTTAAACTCTTCACCCCTGACTGGCACCCACACAGCTCAACAGTGACTGGCCTGCAGCTTAGGGGAGATAAAGCAAAAGAGAGGGCTAAAGTGTGGGTGAAAAAGACAAAAATTCACTAAAGGGCATTGGGAACTGAATGGAAAAGCCCCGGGAAATACAGATTGTGTGCTCCTGGATTATCCGAGGCAGTGCTGTATCACAAAAAGGAAATCAATTCAAGGGAAGTCAGAAAACCTGATTTCTAATCCTATGTTCTTCCTTTACAAGCAGAGTTATCCTGAGCAAACCGAATGCAGCAAAATTACTTACGTTTCTCTTTATCCAGAACTCTTTTCCTCCATGGAGTCGGCAGCCCAGGAACGATCTTAGTCCTTTTAACAGAAAGAGAACATTCCTAAGAGTAAAGCCAAACAGATTTGAATTGGTTCTTGCTGACTATAAGATATTAAAAAAAATCATTTTGGTAATGTTTATTACCTGATTCAGGAACTGAGAATAGTACCCTTTAGTCAGCAGTAAACAGACACCCACTTGCAAGTGTCTCAAGTTCAAGTCTAACTTTAGAACCAATCAAATAATAATAGAATCTTCAGAGCAAAATGTATTTTCTCAATCTCGAGCAGAGACTGCCAGGGCACATCTGAAATATTATATTTACTTCAAAAATACTGAAGATGGGCTTCCCTGGTGGCGCAGTGGTTGAGAGTCCGCCTGCCGATGCAGGGGACACGGGTTCGTGCCCTGGTCCGGGAAGATCCCACATGCTGCGGAGCGGCTGGCCCCGTGAGCCATGGCCGCTGAGCCTGCGCGTCCGGAGCCTGTGCTCCGCAACGGGAGAGGCCACAACAGTGAGAGGCCCGCGTACCACGAAAAAAAAAAAAAGAAAAATACTTAAGATGTTATTGGTATCAGACAACATCAATTGCTTAAATGTAAATGTTATTTAAAAAGTTACCTATGAGGCTGCTGCGCACGTTCTGATTTGCGTTGACCTCTTCTTGGCATATTTGGTGGAGTTTTTGTTTCTCTTTAGATTTATTAATATAAAGCAGGGATTATTAACCTAGGGTCCAGAAAGCTCATGAATTTGGATGGAAAAAAACTACATCTTTATTTTTACCACTTTTGAAGTAAAATTTGGGTTTAACATTTCCTTCCATATGGATCTAGCCATAAATCCAAAGTTGTGTTAGCAGTACCTGCGACTTTGTCACCAATAGAGATCACAGACATTTTACATTTCATTACAGTTGTTGCAGTTAGCATGCAATAGTATTTATGTGCAAAACTACTTTGAAATTAGATATCCCCCTGCTTGACCTTGTTTTTAAGACGTTAATAAAAAGGACATGTATATTTCAATTAAAAAAATTTTTGATAGTAGTATTTCAATATATGTTTCCTTTGCAATCCTATATATTTCATACATTTAAAAACATCTTCCTGGGCTTCCCTGGTGGCTCAGTGGTTGAGAGTCCGCCTGCCGATGCAGGGGACACGGGTTCATGCCCCGGTCCGGGAAGATCCCATGTGCCGCAGAGCGGCTGGGTCCGTGAGCCATGGCCGCTGAGCCTGCGTGTCCGGAGCCTGTGCTCCGCAACGGGAGAGGCCACAACAGTGAGAGGCACGCGTACCGCAAAAAAAAAAAAAAGAAAAATCTTCCTGAGGAGGCTTCCACAGGTATCATCAGTGAGATCAATGGCATTTGCATGCACACGTACACATGTGGTGAGAACTAGTCTAGAGGCTAGCACTGACCTTGGCACCTGAGAAGCAAGACTAGAATCGGAACGTCCTCCCAAAGATACAGCCACATTTGTTTTAAAGGGAGGGGCGGGGGAAGAATTCTGCTTCTAACTGCTTTTAAAGCATTGCTGCTCCCTTAAGCCTGGCGGCATGCTGCCTTTGTATCCTGCCTGGCTGTTATTCATCTCCGTCACTGCTACAGGGACAAAGGGACTGTGTCTTAAGTATGGCTGTATCCCCGTTTTCTAGAACAGTGCCTGACATAGAGCAGGTTCTCAATAAAGTTTGCAGAGTAATGGAAATAGGAACTAGAAATAAATCCTTGTTGAAACGGACACACAAGTAGTCATGCTCAATGAGGTGGGTATGTGTGAGTGTATGTGGGAAAACAGGGTGGGGATATAAGGCCTGCTATGGGGATGTGGGGTGCATAAAGCGGGACATTCTTTTTTCAAAGAAATTCAAAACAGACTTCTGGAAGGTCATTTTCTAAGACTCTTGCTGGCAGTGTGAAAACAGCGCCCCCCCTTGTGCACGGCCTCACCCAGCCTCACGTGACCGCATCATCCTCCCCCCACGCAGGGCTGCCTCCCCCAGTATATATAAACCTCTGTGCAGCCAGGGCAGGAATCAGCCGGGCCACCCAGCCAGACACCTCGCGGCGCAGGGGAGAGTTCCAGAGGGAGCCTCGTCCAGCGGCTGCTCTGAGGGCTTCTGTGCACGTTGCTGCCACTGCAGGCCCGAGATGCCAGCTGTCCAGCTGCTGCTGCTGCTGGCCTGTCTGGTATGGGGTGTGGGTGCCAGGACAGCACAGTTCCGGAAGGCCAACGACCGCAGCGGCCGATGCCAGTACACCTTCAGCGTGGCCAGCCCCAATGAGTCCAGCTGCCTTGAGCAGGGCCAGGCCATGTCGGCCATCCAGGACCTGCAGAGAGACAGCAGCGAACAGCGCGCGGCCCTGGAGTCCACCAAAGCCCGGCTCAGCTACCTGGAGGCCCTCCTCCACCGCCTGACCTTGGGCCAGGCTGCCACGCCCTGGGACACCCAGGAGGGGCTGCAGAGGGAGCTGGAGTTAGCCTACAGCAACCTCGTCCGTGACAAGTCAGCTCTGGAGGAGGAGAAGAGACGACTGGAGGCAGAGAACGGGGATCTGGCCAGGAGGTTGGAAAGCAGTAGCGAGGAGGTAGCGAGCCTGAGGAGGGGCCTGTGTCCCCAGGCCCGCAGCACCTCTGAGGACGTGCCACCAGGCTCCAAGGAAGGTAACACCATGGGGTGAAGGTGGCACGGTTCACGGAAACCTGTTACAGGTGGCCAGGCCTGTCCTTCCTGCCCTCTCCTTTCTCCTGGAGACCACACATCTAGCGTGAGTCAGACAAATTAGGGAGGGCAAAGCAATCACTTTCACATGTTGCTAGTGAGTCAGCTCCCAAAAGTTCTGTTGAGGTTCGTGGTTCTGAGTTCTTTTTTATTATTATTTTTTAAATTTATTTTTTGGCTGCGTTGGGTTTTCGTTGCTGCGTGAGGGTTTTTCTCTGGTTGCGGCGAGCGGGGGCTACTCTTCGTTGCGGTGCGCAGGCTTCTCATTGCAGTGGCTTCTCTTGTTGCAGAGCACGGGCTCTAGGCGTGCGGGCTTCAGTAGTTGTGGCACACGGGCTCTAGAATGCAGGCTCAGTAGTTGTGTTGCTCCAGAGCATGTGGGATCTTCCCAGACCAGGGCTCGAACCCGTGTCCCCTGCATTGGCAGGCGGATTCTTAACCACTGCGCCACCAGGGAAGCCCCGGTTCTGAGTTCTTGTGCCTACCCATGACAGTTTTCACAATCCATAGCAAAATGAGAAATATAAAGACCAGGTGAGATGCAAATATATAGGATCAGTAGAAAGTTGCCAACTATCCTTTTTAGAAAACTGTCCTTTTGTGAATCTTCAGAGATTGTTGACGCTTACCTTTTGTTGTTAAAATGACCTCTGTTTATGAAATGACAATAGATTTATGAAATGATGATAGGTGGTAGGGTTTTTTTTTAAGTGTCCTTCCTGGGCAAAATAAAGAGGCAGCAACCCAGTGTGGGTTCCCTCAATATGTTGTTTTGGAAATTTTCCTGCTCTTGGTCCAATCTGAGAACCTCTGCTTTTAAGTCACTTTGAAGTGGCTTTTGCTACCTGAGATGTCATTCTGTTCATCCTGGTCCCTGCCAGGTGAGTCCATGAGTGTACACTGAGGGAGGAGGGACACTCTTCCCAGTAGTTGGGAAGAAAGTATTTGTGTCACTTTTTGTGAAACTCTGCTCCCAAATATTCACTGTTTAATAAGTTTTCCAATCATGAGGGAACAAGCAAGCAAATCCAGTTAGGGGACTATTAGTCTGGGCTCTTCAAAGATGTCAACATCAAGAAAGAAAAAATAAGGGAGCTGGGGGTGGGGGCCTTGTTTTCGATTAAAGGAGACTGTAGAGATGTAGTAACCAAAGGCAGTACATGATGCTGGAGTGGCCCCTGCATCCAGGGGGACAAAGCTACAAGGGACAGGTTTGGGATCCTTGAGGACATTTGAATATAGACTGCTTATCAGGTTGTGTTATTGGATTAGTGTTCAGTTTCTTGGGTGAGGTATGGTATTGTGGTTATGAAGAATATCCATGTTCTAAGGAGATACATACTCAAGCACTTAGGGATGAGGCATCAGAATGTCTACAGTTTACTTTCAAATGGTTTGCAAAGACTGTAAATATATAAAGAGAGAAAGAAAAATGATACAAATGTGACAAAATATTAGCAGTTGACGAATCTAAGTGAATGACACATGGGGGATTTATTGTACTGTCTGTTATCTTTTCAAAAGCTTTGAAAAATCTTCAAAATAAAATGAAGGGAAATCATCTTCTAAAGAGGCTCTGCATGAAAGGCAAAATCTGCACAGATGTGACACCAGAAAACCCAAGGGTCCGTGCCTGGGTGTGACCTCGGGCATGTCATTTAGTCTCTGCACCTTGGTTTCTCACCCATAACGTGGCAATGAAAATTCCTGTTGTGAATAATGATTTTTGTAGGGTTCAAATGAAATGACTCTAAGGTATAAAGGATTTTTTAAAATCCTGTATTGATAGAGTTGGAAAAGATCCAATTCTAAATTCTACAATGAAGGGAAGTAAGGTCACAAGATGCCAAGGGATCCCAGGTTGAACAGCTGAGCAGTGATGGTGCTGAGACTTGCTGAACTTGAGTCTTTGAGCACAAATGAAAGAATCATTATTAATAGAAGTGTTATGAGGCATTACGTATTTCAGACTGTTAACTGAATGAACAGAACCCATGAGAGAGAGACAGAGAGAGAGAGAGAGAGAGAGAGAGAGAGAGAGAGAGTGTGTGTGTATGTGAGAGAGAGAGAAAATAGAGGAAACATTTTTTTTATTGTCTTGTGGTCATTTAACAAGTTTTTGGGAATTTATTCAATGTGTTCTCTGATTTTATATACATATATTTTAAAATTTATTTGTTTTATTTATTTATTTTTGGCTGCATTGTATCTTCATTGCAGTGTGCGGGCTTCTCACTGCGGTGGCTTCTCGTTGCAGAGCACAGGCTCTAGGCACGCGGACTTCAGTAGCTGTGGCACGTGGGATCAGTAGTTGTGGCTCGTGGGCTCTAGAGCACAGGCTCAGTAGTTGTGGCGCACGGGCTTAGTTGCTCCATGGCACGTGGGATCTTCCCAGATCAGGGCTCGAACCCGTGTCCCCTGCATTGACAGGCGGACTCTTAACCACTGCACCACCAGGGAAGCCCTGATTTTATATTTCTTTTTGTCCTTTCCAGCTGCTCTACTTTTGAAATAAAGACAACAGCCCATTATAGTGAACTACAGACTTGGAAGCTCTTTTCTAGCAGTGGGTTTTTCGTGAGCAGGAAATTACATTAGTACAAGAATGTATAGCTGGAAAGGGGGCCTCGAGAGCATCTGATGCCTCTGGCTTATTTGTGCAGATGTGGAACTTAGGCCCAGAGAGGCTGCTCAGAGGTTCCCGGTCACCAGCCCTCTAGTGGCAGAGCCAGGACTAGAATTCAAGCCCCTCCCCCGATGTTCAGTGGCTCTTCAGGACCCTGACGTGACCTCTAGTTTATAGAACCTAAAGATGAATGACAGAAAAGCTACATTTAAACATCAGGGAAAGAGCGCTTGGAACAAAAGATGTGCTTCAAGGTCCTAGATTTGAGAGTAAAGGGGTGTTTGGTGCAGCTGGGATTCAGGTGTAGGTGTGCTTTAGGCAGGAGAGGCAATAACTGAGGGATGGAGGGTGTGGGACTGAGGGCTTAGTGAGGCCGAGTGGGCAGAGGAAAGGCCTGAGGAGGTGGACTTTTCCTGACTCCACCTGTAATTCGAACTGTCACCACCATCTTCTTTATTGTGTAGTTATTATATAGAAAAAAAGTGTCCTTAGGGGGCTTCCCTGGTGGTGCAGTGGTTGAGAGTCCGCCTGCCGATGCAGGGGACATGGGTTCGCGCCCCGGTCCGGGAAGATCCCACATGCCGCGGAGTGGCTGGGTCCGTGAGCCATGGCCGCTGAGCCTGCGCATCCGGAGCCTGTGCTCTGCAACGGGACAGGCCACAACAGTGACAGGCCCGCGTACTGCAAAAAAAAAAAAAAAAAAGTCCTTAGAATCATGGAAGTCACTTGTTTATACGTGTGTGTGTGTGTGTGAGTTGAAATAATATATGCATATAAGATGTTGTAGTAATAATTCTGTAGTGAAATGTCTAGAAATCTTTAAATCTTTTAAATAAATAGAAAATACAGATTACCAAAAGAGAAACTAGAGTTGCTCATAGCGTCACAAGAGAAATCCCACCTTCCCCTTTATTTCTCGTCTGCTTTGGACTCTCAGAGAACAGAACCTGGGATGAGGGCTTGTGTGCAGTGTTTGTATGGGCCACGATCCCAGGGAGGAGAATCGGGGACAGGGGAGAGTGTGACAGGGAAGGAAAGAGAACCAGCATGGGGCAGTGGGGGAGGGCCCTTCTTCAACTGGTCCCCATGGTGGGCAGCAAAGGCTGTACCCCATCAAGACTTCTGAGAATCTGTGTAGAATGCAACAGAGAAAGGGAGCATTCCTTCCCAGATCCGATACTCTGTTGGCCAAGGATCATCCCATGGGGTATATTGCACTTCCCTGATCCACAGATGTGAGCACCAGGCTTGTTCTTGCAGAGGTTGACACAGCAATGGCTAGAAAAAGGTGGGCAAGATATGCAGGGAGGGGCACCAGAGTTGCTCAACACAAGTGCTGCAGATTCACTTCCTCACTTACAGGATGGGGAGAATAATCCCCCCAATTAGAAGTAACGCAGGAAAGCATCCAGCACAGTGCCTGGCACTGAGTGACCACCCAGTAAATGGATTATAGCTACGAAGGGCTTCTTTTGCTTGAGCTCCACTGTTTAAAAATGTCATTTATAGGGACTTCCCTCGTGGCGCAGTGGTTAAGAATCCATCTGCCAATGCAGGAGACAGGGGTTCGATCCCTGGTCTGGGAAGATCCCACGTGCCATGGAGCAGCTAAGCCCGTGCTCCACAACTACTGAAGCCCGCGCACTCTAGAGCCTGTATGCCGCAACTACTGGGCCCATGCGCTGCAACTACTGAAGCCCGTGCACTCTGGGGCCCACGTGCCGCCACTACTGAGCCCACATGCTGCAACTACTGAAGCCTGCATGCCTAGAGCCCGTGTGCCCTGCAACAAGAGAAGCCACTGCAATGAGAAGCCTGCGCACAGCAATGAAGAGTAGCCCCCGCTCACCACAACTAGAGAAAGCCTGCACACAGCAACGAAGACCCAGTGAGGCCAAAAAAAAAGAATGTCATTTATAGATCAAAATGTCGACGTGTACATATCATTTCTGTAACACGCATTGATTCCAGAGACAGTATATGTTGGAGCAGCACCCAGGACAGTAGTCTGCTAGCTAATATTCACCTTCTAGAGTATTCACGACAACCTGTGATTATGTTGGCACCCTTCTTTTTCTTCATCCTCTTCATGTATATAATACTGACCTAACTTTTCAGGCAGTGATAGAAAATAACTACAAAAATCATTACAATGTCATTTGCTTATATATCTACACATAAGTATATAAATAGGACAGAGCATGAAGAAAATATTTCCAAAATTTTATAATAGACATGAACTTCTCAACCGCAGAAGGACTGAATTTTCATAGAAACAAACAAAAGCCCTAAAAATTTTTAGCTGTCTGATACAAT